TACAGCACATGCATTAGTTTATGCATGTCCTATAGCTAGCTGAGTGCTAGCTCTATTGAGAGCAAGAGATACTCTATATGATAAGAAGGAAAAGTAAGCAGTATTAGCTGAGAAATATTTAACAATATCCAAACACTGATAACACCTAGATTCGCTCCCCTCAGATGTAAAGCATTTGACAATCTCTTAATATATCAAATTGCTAAGTTCAGTATTTATTAAAGAGAGCCTCACCTGTGCTGGTACATGCGTTACATGTACTGGTAGCACAAACTGTCATGGAGGTACACTATTTCCACCTTCCTCTTTACCCTTCCGTCATATTCCCTACTGCTCCCAGATTGGAAATGCAAAGTCCAATGTTATCTTGGACAAAAGAGCAAAGGAAAATAAATCACCTTTCCTCCTTTGACACAGTTAAGTGAGGCAAACATAGCAGTCAGAATCTTGCATTTGCTGTTGCAATCAAAATTCGCTGTTGCAATCAAAAAATGTCATGAGTTACAAGACTCCTTGAAGCATATTGGGTAGAAAAAAAGGTTGTGGTACACTAAAGACCACTAGGTCAAGCATCTCGATTCCTGTATATCAATAACAGATGGTTCCACATCAAAGTTCTCAGTTTGCATCCACCTTAAAACAGTAAGCAGTAAATAAAATGAAGAAAGCCTAGAATTCCAAAACGTCTTAAAAGACCAGTAAGACATGCTTTTAATAAGCTTCTCTAACCAAATTATTCAATTTTATTCAAAGCTTCTCTCTTTACCAAAGGGCAGAACAGCTGAAACACTACTATGCATTCAAGGAATTGCAGCCTACTAATTTAGAATTATACTATTATGCAAATTTTTTTTAAAAACTTTGCATGTAAGTTTGGTACACTACCATTTCATTTTCCTTGTCTCAAGTATTACTGAGGTATTGACTAGCAAAATGGAAAATTAGAACATTCAGTGCAACAGGTTTCATCAAACTTCTTCCTTCAGATCATAACCCCTGCATTCTCACATGAAAGGCAGACTCCGCTTCAGTCAGCAAGACCATCTAGAAAAAAGTTTGCATATACATAGCTTCATAGTAAGCTACAGATCAGAAGAAGCCATAGCTTCACCTGCTACTCTATAAGAAATAGCACCCAGATTTATCAAGTATTTAATTTGCTAACACAAAAATGAATCATATCCCACAAATATCAGAAATTCCAATGATGAGAATCATCTAGTCAAAAGGAAAACTTTGCAGAAGAAAGAAAAACTAGCAATAAAACTACGCTACTGAACCTAAACCTCACATTTCGACTGCTGTACCATCTCATGTCCCTCTCTCATGCTCTCCCTCCCCCATCCAATATTAGAAGAGAAGATCTCACAGATGAGAGCCGAGCCCTTTTCTCCTCAGCATTCCTCCCATCTCTGGGCTCAGAAACATTTTCAAATTGGAAAGAGTTCAGAGTCCCTCACAAAAAGCGGCTAAGTACTGGCTCCAGCACAATTGTTTTCTTAGTATCCAGGGCCTGCTCATGATCTCAGTATCCCATGACCTGTGCATTCTACGCTGGCTTGTGCCTGTCCTTATGATGTAGCACAGGAAAGAAATTCAAAACATAGAGCTTTAACTCTAAAGATTTTTCAGTATTATTCTGAAGTTACCTTCTGTAAAAATTATATATATACACACGTATTTTTTGCTTCCAAAGTTAATTTTGCAATGTCTAACCTTTAAAGTAGGGCTAAAGATAAAATTTCCTCATCTCACCTAAGACATACTTGCAAGTCATCTTATTTTCAGTGACAAAAGAGAAAAAAAAGAAACAAAACCGCAAAACGTACGTTCAGTAGCACGCACTTTTTGAAGAGGGAAACACGCAGACACGAGTGCCATTTCCCCTCCTCCCAGCCCTCTCGCTGCGGGGGGTATTTTACGGCACGGCGTAGATACTCGGCCTAAAGGTTGTGCCGCTCCCGCGCAGGCTGCGGCCGCCG